TTACGTTAAGCTAGTAGGCTAAGTAATACTGGTTTTGTGTTCTATAAGGGTAGAAGCAGTAGGCTCTTCTAAGGCTGTCACTAGGTGAAAATTTTAAATTAGCGGTGGTGGCTAGGAGAGGATAGGCTCCCTGCAAGACGGAGCACACTGATGTATAAAGCCCTCCTTTCGCCATTACTATACTAGCTAACTTAAGCTAGATCTTTTAAACCCTCTATCTTTCTTGTCGCTAACTATAGTTTACATAAAGTTTAAGGAATTAGACTGACAGTCTATCGAACAGTAGTACAAAAAAAATAAGCGTAGGAGATAACGCGCTAAGCAGAAATATCGGCAGGAGCATAAGGAGCAGAAAAAGCAGTAGTAGTAGCAACAGCAGCAGAAACAAGCGTAACTCCCACCAACAGCTCTTACAACCCTCCTTAGACAAAAGGTCGAAGTTCTAGGTGCGACAGAGGCCTAGACCACAAGCTGTATGTCACCTACACTCCAGCCACATCCCGCCGGCCTCAACTTATAACTAATAGGGGTAAGCTCTGACCTTTTAGCTATCATTAGCGACCTTAACTTTGGCTCTGTCTAGAGCCTTAGTGTCCCTAAGGCGTATACATAATGCGACTTTGTGCTAACCTTAGAGACTGTAGTACCGTCTTATGAGATTAATAGTATACTAAAGCCTATCTTTTTGGATAATAGTAACCCACCTTTAGCATTTAGGCTCTCTTGTACACCCCTATCTGCTCAGCCTGCTACAGCATAAGCACCTCATAGAGAGGCAAATCCATCCTCAGCTAAGGAACTGTCATTAGCTCCTGACCCCGCCTGATGGGCTACTGAGTAACTTTGCCTAATAGATTCTGTCGTAAGCGACATAGACCTATATAAGTTGCAAATACTTAATTGAGGAAGAAATATTAGACTGATATGATTATAGCACAGCTGTAGTTAACGTTAAAGCTAGTAGCGAGAGTAGGAATTACTATACTGATAAGAGCTTGGACGACGGTAGGGGTTCTAACGATGACGACACTGGTGTTGAGAACTGTTATTAAGAGATGGTCTTTCCTAGAGCTAAACTTGTAGAGAGTTCCCTAGGTAGTCCTATACTACATATCCTGTTAGAAAGCAAGTTTGCAGCGCCTAACTGCCTAGAGAGCTTGCCTGTTAGTAGAGCCACAGTTCTTAGTAATTCTGCTTACGCACTAGTTGGTTCCTTGGGTGGGTTGAAAGAACCTTAAGCACGCGGTTTTTCACTCCCTACCCTAGCGTCTGATTACGCCTCTGATTCTGGGAAAGGGGTGTAAATTATTACTCGTTAGAGGAAACGTAGATTTAGCATAACTAAGGGTGTTTGTGAGAACCCTGAACAACGCTCGGCTAAACGGATAAGGCCTCAGAGAGTTAACAACAGAAGAGAGTTGCCTGCTCTGCCAACCAGGACTTTACGCGCACTACTATCTTAAGCTCCAGTAGGAAAGTCAAGTAAGAAGCTGTTAAAAGAAACGGAAACACAGCTTTATTACTTAGTTAAGACACCGGAACGGTCTGAAACAGATAGCCCTATCGGCTTTGCAGATTGTAGTAAAGACATAGTACGCCCTAATAGATCACTTGTACTAGACTTAAATAGTTACTCGGACAGAAGCTGGTGTAAGGAAACAGGACGCTCGCCAGCTATATTAAATAGTTCCTTACTTTGGCTAAACTCCTTTTCTGGCATAAATTATTAGACTAAAACGTGCGGATTTGTTCTCCGTCCGCTTATTACCACTATAGTGAACCTACCCGCAGCTGCATGCCATACTTGCGGTTTTTCTACAAAACACCTATTACGTATAATTAACACTTTAGAGGCTCACAATGGGGGCAGCGCTTAAATGCCTAATAATAAAAGTCAAATAGATATGCTTAAGCTGTTCCTTAGCTACATTAAAAACTATACTACGGAGCGACTTCATAATGAAAAAATCAAGGATAACCCCAGAACATTTAATACGGTACAACACAACTATACAGCAGAGGCTGTTGTTAGACTAGTACGCAGTAACATAGTTAAACTTAATAGCTTAGACGATAACTCCCCCACCCTATATCCAAACCACCCCCACATCCGAACCACCATCATCACCACCATCGCCACCACTATCACCACTTATTTCACTATCTCTGCCGCCCACCTATATGTAACTTTCGGCCTCGCTGGGCAATTCGGATGCCCTAGATTCATCCGGACTATCTATATTACTAGGATCCAGACTTTAGGCCCGGATTATATCCTCTATAGTAGCAAAGGTGCTATTAGGCGATAGGCAGACCTTTTTCCTCTTGCGTGACTGTATATTATCTAACTAGGCCTGTAATAAGTTAACCTGCCTTTCTAAAAGGGCTGCTCTAGATACCTGCTTATTATAGCCCTTTTATATCTTTCTAGATAGGTAACAAATAGTATAGGTATCTAGCTTATCCTTAGCTAGCTAGGTTAACTAGCGTAGTTAATACTATAGATTAGTAGATTAATAAGGGGTTAACTATAGGATAATAGATTTAGCTTTATCCTACTGCTAGCTGCTAGGCTGACTTAACTGCTAGCTGGCCTAGATAATCTAATAGGCCCTAGTTACTATTAAGTTAGATAAGGGGCGTCTTATATATATAGGCTATAATCTAGATAACCTCTAGCTACTGCTAATATTAATAGATATAATAGATACCTTATAGGCCTTAAAATAACACTCTAAGAATACCTTTTTACTAGTAATAGTTAAATCTATAACCTAGTTATCTAGATATCTAACCTCCTTATAATAGGCCTGCTTTAATAAGCTAAAGACAGCTATATCTAGAGGCTAGAGGACAGTAGAGGCGTATAGCAGTAGAAATAGTAGATATATATTATGCTACTAGTATTACTATATAAAATTAATAGTTATATAGCTATAATACCTATTAAGAACTAGTAGTCTAGCCTCCTCTAGCTAGGCAGGCTTAGTGTATAAGATAAAGACCTTCTCTAGCTATTTAAGGGCAGTATTATTAGTTATCTAGCTATTATTAGTTACTATAAATTACTATAGCTTATATATATTAAGGTTAGATAGGAACTACTAGGCCTAAAGTAATTTACTTTTATATATAACTAAGGGGGGTAAGAAGCTACTAGTAGTAAACATACACTTAATAATAGATACCTATACCTAGGATCCTAGCTACTTTTTCTAGATATATTATAATACCTTAGAGCCTAGTACTAGCCTATTACCTCCTTTACCCTCTATAATACTAGTCTTATCTATATTCTATCTATTAGATAGATAGATCCCTTAGATAGTAGGGATACTACTAAGGTAATAGAAGAAATCCTAGATAACCTTAGGGGAATAGGCTGCCTATTACTAGGTATTAATTACTCTAGATTAGAGGGTTCTAATAGATAGATTTTACTATATAAATTAGGCTATCTATTTCCTCCTTATAAGAGGATACCTATTACCTATTATACGCTCTACTAGGCCTTTTACTTATTAATAGTTAATATATCTACTAAGGGACTATTAAAGGGTAATATAGGCAGCTAGATTATCCTCTTAGGCCTAGGATAAGTGCTGCCTATCTTTAAAGGCAGTATTCTTACTTTACCTGCTAAAGTATTAATACTAAAGTGTTATATATAGTATACCCTATCTATAAGTAATAGCCTAGAGGCTATACTGCCTAGACTATATATCTAGGAGGGCCTGTTAGAGCTTATCTTTAGAATATTACTTTATAATAGTTTAAAGAAGGTATCCTAAAAAAATAGCGTTATTTAGCAATAAATAGTAATTGTTATGATAGTTTAAAAAAGGTAGTAGTGTTAATGAAGGAGGGGAAATGCGGGAATTTCGGGTGGTTCGGATGCAGGGGTGGTTCAGATATAGGGTGGGGGAGTTAAGACTAATAATAATAACAGCCAAAGCGACGACTAAAGCAACAGTAATAGTTATAATTACTATTCTAGTCCAGACAATCTTAAGGAAAACATAAACAGGCCTAAGTGTTGCCGTTGGACGGATTAGGAAGAGGAGCGTCTGCGGGTATACCTCAAAGAGGGGAAGGAGTGGTCATAGATTGCAGAAAGGCTTCATCGAAGTGAGGCAGCTGTAACTCAGCATTGGGTAATCATGGAGAGGAAAGACAAGGAGTCGGCAAAGTGATTCAGATACTTCTCCAAGTTACGAATGGTTTCAGGGGACTACCTGTGAGACTGACATCAAATGTATTTCATAGCACTATAATACCAACACTATAGATGAGCCATCCAAACTGCAATAAGGTTTAGAAGTCATGTTGTGTACTACGATGGAGCCAATGGGCGATCGCGAACCTTATCTGTCAATTCCAACAAAGAATCCGCTCGCGGTTGGTCAGCCGTATTGTGTCCTGCCACTCCCTGCTTTATCCTGGCCAATGAGCTGTCTCGAAGTGACAGGAGAACCCATACGATATGCAAGATGTGCTGGTCGTCTCGGAGTGGGACGTGTACCAAATCTAACCACATGTCTGGCCTTGATAGACCATCACAAAAGCAAACCCCTCACCGGCTGCAAGCATGCATGTACGAGGGGGTTACACCTGTGTTGGTGCGCTGTGTGGTATACGACCTGCGGATAGCCTTTCATACTACTGTTGTATTCAGGGTCGTCATTCAGACGTCATGGTGATCCCAGGATCTCCACCAATGTTACCGAGGTCTGCATGCCTGCAGACAACGTTGCTGTAATCTCAAATCAGGTTGTTAACAAACGGCAATACATGTCTGGGTTGTGGAGGCAAAGCGCATGCGGGAGGCCCTTTGACTTTTCGGTCACGTTCAGAGGATTCCGGTTGGGTCCTATCTCGGGTGTCCGATACTGAAGTGGGGAAAACTCGTCGCTATCTGGATCGCTGGTACTGTTCTTACGCTATCGCTGTTCTTACTAGAAAGCGTCGACGCCCAAGTAGAGATGGGGTTCCGTTGATTCGCCTGTACCCAGATTCTATGATTAGAACGACACTTACCAAAATGCCATTGTTGTGGACCATCGACGATGAGACTAAATTCCATCAAGCCATTGCCCAAATATCCAAGCTGAGGCAAACCCCCCTCCAGGAAGCCAACTACCGGCATCAGTATCGAGGGGGCTCCCAGTCCTCTGACCATGTTCTGCGGCTCGAAGACGAGATGCAACTAGCTGACCATGTTGCTTTCATTGCTCATAGTTCTGAAGGGTTTCCGGAAATAGCAGCAGCTTGCATTGAGGAGCGGCCAGACCAGCAAGGGCTTCTTATACGACTTGCTCGTAACGAGCTACGGCGAACAGAGGAAGTCGAAAGTGTACGGTGTCTACTTCGGGTTCTAGAAGGCTGCGCAAGTGGAGGTATGTTGACTATTTTGCTTGACGTTTGACAACAGCTGACTTGGGAAGTCCTACATAGAAGCGCCGTACAGGATCGACTTTTCAATGAAGTGCTAGCAATTAGTGAAAATCGAATCCTGCAGAGATTGATGCCACCCTGGTACCCTGCACCATCTCATTGGAATGCGAAGCAAAGACAGCAAAGAACATCACTGCACCATCGCATGACGACATTGTTACTTCCTAAACTACGAGGAAGCAAATTTGAAACGATCTACCTGAATTTTATTCGTGCAACAAAGGCTTTAGAGCCTTTGGAATCGAAGCAAATCGGCCCCGACTTGCGCAAGCACGTCAAAATCGCAATGCAATGCTGCGCTAACGCATCTATCGGCACAGACCAGAAGTCACTCGAGTTACAGTTGAAGCATATCCTGAACCAGCTCTCTAAGGCAGCACGAAAGGTTGTCGTCCAGGTCGACAAAATTGCCCGATATCTCAACTTAAGCAGAGACCTGGCCAAGATGGTGATGAGAAAGGCTTATCGCAATATTTTAGAGAGATAACTCTTGAGCCTCTTCTTTCACCCTCACCTATCCTGCCAAATGGGACGGCGAACCTTTGTTTCGTCCACGCGGAGGTGCAGCTCTTACTGCATTACGAGCGAGTTTTATGCGTACCAACCCCTCGATTCATCGGCTGCAGCAAGTCGGCTTGCTTTCTTTGCGACTTGCTCATTAAACGGCATGGCAGATTTCAAATATCGTTCACCCACTAACGAATATACCCAAAGTGGACCGTGCCAAACGTGGATTGGATGACACAGAAGCAGATTGAAGCCTGGCGAAAGATTATTAATGGCATGATGCAAGAGCTTCAGGCTATGATACAAAAGTTCACTGCAGACAAGGAAGGTTTCTTATCCGCTCCGATGGAATCAAGGGCATGCCTTCCTCTTTCGTCAGTTCCTAGTTCCGTCGCGATACCTGGACGCATGGCCGACTCAGGACCTTTCACAGGAGAGATTCGAGGGGGTTTACCAGTGCCACAGCAGGGCCCGCGGTCCGTCAGTCATGCTTTTCTTAGTAAGGAATCGTCTGTACCTTTGGAAATCTCTAGTGATGATCTTCCGATTTCATACAAAGTGTTTGTGGATTTCCCAGGCTTTCACTTCATTTCCAGCCAACTGACGGCCTTTTTCGAATTTGATCGGGAATTCTCGGGTACGGTGTCTCTCGCAATGGCAGCTGAGACATCTGCTGCTATTCGAAGCTTTGCTGTTGATGATTTAGTGTATGGGAACGATTTCAGGGTGGCGCCAATAAGAGCAGACGAAGGACTCGTGTTGAAGCTGCAAGTTGGAGCGATTGACGTGCTCTACGTTGAGCTTATGTGGGACTCAGAATAGATGTGTCTCGCAATAATTGTACTGTAACATTCCGAGACTATACATTCATTCTACACCATTAACGCTTTCTTCATTATGGTTCAGCGCTTTTGGACAATGTTGGCTATGGTTGATACCTAGGCATCTAACCGAAGGCAATCAGCAATGCAAACTGGAAGACCAACACTGCAGACGAGTCGTCAAAACTACAATAAGGCTTGTAAGGAGAACGGCACGGAGGTCTGTCCGGGCTTTAGGAAGGGATGGATGTTGTGGGTTTGGAGGCGGGATCCAAGTGGGTACCGCTAGTGGGGCGACGGTGCGGCATCCTTCGGAGAGGAACATAGTTGCCCTAACGAGGCATACAGTGACGTGCAAAAAGTCTGGGCCAACCCCCTTATTTCCCTCCAGCCCACACATCTACCCCATCACTGTTACTACGAATAGAACTACAAAATTAATAATATATATAGCAAGAGTATAGTCAATTAAAAGCGAATTGTTTGCCTATCAGTATCGTGTATACCAACCCTGTGCTCTTCGTACTGCTCGTAAGCGACGAGGTAGAGACTTTATAAGACTCTTTATCGTAGCTTGTGGCACTGCTGCCCATGCCTCTTGTAATTTCTCCTTGAACTTTTCTATATCTAACTCGTTATTCCTCAAATAGAATGCTTCAGGGTATAGCTCCCTCAGCTTATCCTTCATCAGCTTCTAGATGTGCTTAATTGGGTTGAGGTCGGGTGAGTATGGGGGCCAGTCTAGCCATGAAACACCATGACTACGGAGCCATGATAGTGTCTGAGCTGATGTGTGAATAGGGGCATTATCTTGAACAAAGTGACGAAAATCATCATAAACGGGTAGAAATCCCTCATCTAGAGTCTGTATATACCTATTTGTAGTATATCCTCCTTGTCGTGAGTTCTTATCTCTAGTTAAAAAGATCAACTCACTTCGGCCCTCCTTCTATATTATCCCCTATACCATAATAGAGATATCTGCCTTTACGTGGGCAGTAATATTAACAAAATCTCGTCGCTAGCGTTTAGAGGGTAGTCTAAATACCTAAGCGGATGGGTAACTACTACTGTTCTGGTAAGAAGATTTATCACTAAATTGGGCCTATAAAGGAGTTAGTAATAATGTTCTTTTATATAGGCTTCTTACTATAAGGCACATAGCTAGAATCTCATCCTCTTTTTGTAGCTATTCTCTAGCAAACTGTAGCCGTTGAGTAGCTGCTTTAGGCGTAATAACTGGTCTCTTTGATGCCCTCCACTTGCGATAGTTGGCTTGGCGAAGAGCCTTCTTAATAGTGCGAAGGCACACCTTGTGCTTCTAGCCCTTTACAAGCTCCTGGTACGTCTGCCGAGGATTAATTCGAATAGATCTACAAATAGCCCGTTTCTCCACCTTACTTAGTTTCTCTGGCCTCCCTTTTCGGGGGTTAGACTTAAAAGTCTGGTTGGTTGCAAATCGATTAATGGTTCTCTTCACTGCCCCCCTAGTGCAGTTAAACGTACGTGCTACCTCACGTTGACTTCGGCCGGCAAGCACGTAAGCAGCAATTGCAACCCGCTGGATCTCGGACAACTCATGTTTAGTCCTTCGATCTCCCGATATATGAGATATAAAGGCTTGTAATTTGGCGTCCATTTCCTGAAGTTGTGGTAGTTGTAAGAGTGAAGAATGGTTGGGCTGGAGGGGGTTGGGCAGTAGCGAAATGCGGGGTGGGCCTAGACTTTCTGCATGTGACTGTATAAGGGGACCGGTCGGCAGCAGCAGCAGCGTTGAGCAAGGGATAGTCAAAATCTAAGAGAAGAGGAGTACGTTAAGCTAGATATTGATAGGACTACATATGCTACCGCCTTTACATAATGCAAATGGCAATTAAACATTTGTCTCAAACCGTCCTGACCCCGTTCTGACTGTTGGTATCACATGCGATCACAAAAAAGGTACGGTTTCATATTCAGTGACGTGTGTGTTTGAAAGAGGTCCGAAGTGGCATTCTGGATGTTGGCCCTTTCAGTGTTGCCTTGTAATGACGTCATATTGTAATACATGGATCTTACGATGGCAGGGTGTACCCTTCAGCCTATTGGGTGGCTGCCTGTGGACGGCCTGCCACTCCGGTCATTTTTTGTTTATATCCTCTCAACTCTGAGATCGCATTCATCCACAATTACTACTTAAGTTGTTCCATCGTCTAGTGCAGTCCTGGAGGTGGCGGCAGATCTGGAACTCCCCCACGCAATTAAGATTCTTATCGATGCGGCATGGTCGTTTACCCTTAGCGGCAGCTTGGTCAACCAGCAGTTGCCGCTCCGAGAGACCTAGTGGGTGCCTGTCCTATGACTACTAGCATTAGCGCAAGATGTGTTGTTAAACCGGCCGCCAGGCGGTACGTCTAACACGCCGGGTAGCTTTGACATCTTTGCTGCACAAAACGTATTTAAGTAAGGTTTAAAAATTCACAATCTTGTCTACGGTTCTAGCTGAACTAGCGGGGAGGACGATATTGACTACTGCTACGAGCATAGGGCTAAGGCTAACTGCGATTATATATAGGACTACCCGTCCGTAGATATTAGAAGTCAAGGATGAGTAGGCGCTATTGGATAAGATTCTGTACGTTAACGGCTTAGCTATGTCTTAGTAAGCCTTAGACGATAGGAGAAGAGCAATTTGATGGCGTACCACTATGACTTATCAGCTGAGAAGTGGAGGCTACTGTTAGGCTGTTAAATAGTAATAAATTTAAACATATTGATAGCTCGGACAACATTAATGACGATAACGATAGTAAGAGCTATAACTAAAGTGATAGTGATAGTTCTTATTATCACTCTAGCCCAGACAGTCTTGAGGAAGACGGCAAAAAGCCTAAGCGCCGCCGTTGGACAAAATAAGAAGAGGAGCGTCTACGTTTATATATTGCAGAGGGGAAGGAGTAGCCATAGACTATAAATAGCCTAGACCGAAGTGAGCCAGTTATGAAGCAGCATTAGGTGCATGGAGGGGCAAGACAAAGAGACGGCCAAGTGATTCAGGCAAACTTAGGATCGAGTTGCGAATCACTTCTGAGACTACCCATGATATGTAAAGCGGGAAATTTGGAAACAGCTGGTTAATGTTTTGCATTGGCGAAGTGGGGCGCAACGGATTAATCAATCAATCGTACCGCCCACGCTTCCAGGGTCTGGTGGCGCTCTGTCTGCCTATAGCTTGTCGGGTCGTAACATTTTAGAGCACTAGGGGATAACTAATAGGTAGTAAACAACTATAAGATAGAATATATATATAATAAATACTTACACTATATTATAATATGCCTTCTAACTAGAAATACCCTTTCTCCTCTATAACTATTACACTTAACTTTATTATAAATATAGACTACTTAGTAATAAGGCGGCGGCTAGTTTGGATAACTATATACGCCTCTATAATAACTGTATTGAAAGCTACTAGCATGAGCGCTACTAGTACCGCTATTAGCAGCTCCCTCTGCTAACAATCGCCTTGCGATTTTATATTTTGGCTTGTCTGCAGTTATGTTGACTTGCTTTGCAGTATTGACGGGGTTGGCTTTAACTTTAAGGGCAAAAAACATAAAGTTATTAGCATTTTTAATCTGTTTATGGTCGTCAAGGTTTAAACACCTTTAATAAAACGATCTGTTAGTAGTTTACCTAAGAAATCTTTACCTCTATATCCTAAAACATAGGATAATAAATTTAGAGTGGATTTACTTACGCGTCCTTCTTATAATCTATATTATTAGCCCTCTATGATAACCTAACTATATCACTAAGATGTGTTATTTTATGTAATAATGTTTCTCTACTAGTGAGGGGGCGAGTGCGCCACTGTCTCTAGCTTCTAAACGCTCCTTTGTAGTTAGATAACCCTGAAAAGTACGCAGGGCATAACTTTACAGTGTTCCTAGCGTTATTAGCTATAGCCCTGGTGCCTTAGCACTCTGGTTCTGTTAGTTTGATTACAAAAGGAGGGATATCCTACTTTACGTATACGTGTAAATCAGGATCTTGGTGGTGTTGTTATTATTTATGTGTAGTGTATCTAGACTTCTAGCACCTAGTGGTGGTATTGTCAAATATACAAAAGAAGTGGAGCTCCTGCTGGCTGTTGCACATCTGTGAGAATTCAGGCCATATATACCACTTTTGACACACCCCCCCAGCTTTCACAGAAGGTGCCAATTTCTGTTAGAGCTGGTTTGTAATCCAGAGGGCGGCCAAGCAATGTACGCCCATAGTAGGGGCAGGGTTGGGTCTGACGCAAAGGAATACCCTGTTGCTGCCTTCTGCTGCCTACATGGGAAATCAAACACAGGTCTTCTGGAAATCCTGTATGCGGTAGGTTGGGTTACGTGAGATACACGTAGTGCCACTAAGCGAATAAGACTCTTAATTGTTAAATATGCAAAAGAAGTGGAGCTGCTGCTGGCTGTTGCACATCTGTGAGAATTCAGGCCATATATACCACTTTTGACAGGTATATCCCCTGTGGCAGGGGGATAGTAGTGTCAAATGTGGCGGAATTACACGTGAATTAACTGGCGAATGCACGGTTGCCCTATGGCGAATTGTCAGGGAATAGGCGGTGAATTAGCCCTACTTTTAGGGTAAGTCTGCTAATAATATTACTAGGATTAGCTAGGGATTTCCTAACTAAGAAATAGGGGGTTTTCCCTATTTCTATAGTAATTTACTATAGATATATAATATAGAATAGAATTAATTAAGTAACTATTATAATCCCTACTATTTAATAATTAATAGTCTAATATATATATCTATAATAACTAATATACCTATTTACTAATTAAATACTATTATAATAATTAATAAGAACTATAATAATAAGGTAACTATATTATAATTATATAGTAATTAGTTTATATAGCTTAACACTATTTAAGTAAAGGTAAAGCGTTATAATCTCTAGGAGTATATTAACCTAAAGGTTATAGCAGCAGACTAATTAATCCTTAAGATATATCTAAAGAAACTAATAAAGCTGCTTATAACGTAATATCTATACGCCTTAACTAAAGATAAGCTTACTACTTACTAAGAGGTTACTATAGCTATAGTAATTACTAAAATATCTTAGTAAGTAACTATATAGCTATATATAGTAAAAAGTAAGGCTATTATAACTTTACTTAATAGGCTTATATATAAAACTAAATACGTAATAACACTAAATAATCTTAACTTATATAATCTTATATACTTAAATAGCTAGATAAGCTACTATTATAAAGAAGTACGTAAGTATACTACTTAGTAAAAGGACGTTAAAAACGTAGCTAATATAGTTAAATCTACTATATTTATAAATCTTTAAGAAAGATATTATAAATCTAATAAATTACTAGCTAAATAGCTTAATAAGCTTAGTATAGTAGTAAGAATAACTAAAGAAGAGCGTGTAAAGTATACCTATAATAAATATAGTAAAGTGTTAGTAAAGGTCTAGTAAAAGGCCTTAACTACTAAGAAAGATTTTACTATATAACTTAATAAATAAAACGTAGCCTATAGTAAATTAGTATAAGTTAATTTACTTAACTACTAATAGCTATTAATTTAGTTTAATAACCTTACTACTACTTTATAAAATAGTTTACTTAGCTCCTAGCTAGATTTATATATAGTAATAAGTAAAATAATAAGTAATTAGAATAATCTTAACTAGTAGTCTTTTTATAAGATAGCACTAGAGAGGGTTAAAGCCCTTACTAATAACTTACTGTATTATAGCTAAGCAGGCTGTAGCGTATTTAGCCTAACTAGAGGTAATAATAATAATAGCCTAATATACACTAAAGGCGTAGCAAAAGATAGTAAATTTAATAATAAAAGGCACTACTACTAATAAAGTGTAGGTAAAAAGGTAAAGTGCCTTATATACTTTAGCGCCTA